TTTTGTTCTTGTTGCCTGCCCCATCCTCCTTTTTAGAACTCCTTTCCACACCAAWGTGGAAAACACCAGGTTTGTCATCCAGCAAGTTTTAAAGACTTTTTCTGGTGGAAATTATTTTGTGCGCATGTAAAAAAAGAATATTGTCCCAAATTTGACTAAAAAATGCAAATAATTAATAGTTTTTAAGTCCTGGTATAATCCTTCAGATAAATCAAGTGGTTCTGTTTAAGCAAACAATCCAAGCCCTAACTACAAGTGCAGACTGAAACCTGGCTGATCTTTCACTATGACTTAAAAACAGGATTTTTTTTCTCATTTAAGAAGAAATATTGATATGACTTTAGGCTTGAACATTGCTCTTCATACCGTAAATGTTCTTGTAGGGGCTGTGTGACAATAAATCCATCTCTGAGTGTATCTGAGTCCCTGGAGCTGCTGCTGGAGCGATTCCTGACGCGTAACGAGCCCGCTACGCCCACATCCTGCCTCAGGAGCAATTGCCAATTATTATTTTTTTTATTTTTTTTTTTTTCAGAGGAGCCCGGTGAGAACTGCTTCCAGGTCTGGGTGGAGGTGAACCTGAGCAGAGCCCGGACACCGTTCAAGCCCTGCTGAGTGACAAAACTTTTAAAATATGACCGCAGGGAGGATTTTATCTCCACGATGCTGCTATGCTGGGATGTGACAGGCTTCCTACCCAGGTCTGGAAGGTATGGATCTGCTTGYATASATRAAATCTCATCATTTCCCTTCCCYTCCCTCCCTGCTGCTTGTTGTTTTGGGAAATAAATGCAGAAGAAAAAGAAAACGGAACGAAAAAAACAGAGAATTTTTTTAAATAAATCACATAGGTTGAGGTGAGTTGAAATGTGATTAACCAGCACAGGAATCAGCTCTCTACGATATATGTGGGTCATTTTTAGTTTATATTTAAAGTGACAGTGCCAAGATTGTCAGGTCAGGAAGACAAATAAASCCATATCTTTTAAAGTATCTTGCCTTACAGGAACGAGTCTGAAGAAATTTTAAAAAATTACAACTTTACASCTCATTGCTGTCAAGCTGGGGAAAAAAGTAATTTTCTGCAATTCATCTATTCAGGGAAAACTTGATYGTTCAAGTGTGAAACTTTGTTTTTGCTGATCTTTTTTTTTTTTTTTCCCACACACACAATACTGTCAACATCAACAGGAGGAGAACATCCAGCCAGAAAGTCTGTAGCTGGAGAGGGAGTTAATTTTACAAGGCAAACTCAGAAAAATTGCAAAAGGCTTCTGCTCACCTGCACAGGTGGGATTGAAAGCCACTTGGAGAGCCAAATCCTTCTGGTTTTAAGAAACTCACTGTCCATCAGTGGGTGGATGTAGAATAATGCTCAGCACCAAAACATTACCAAGTTTATGGGGAGACCAGAAGGAGGGAAATCATGATTTATGCAGCCTCAAGAATACAGCTTTTTGGGAAAAAAATATTTCTAATTGCACTGAAAACGCCTACTTTTTGTCAAAATAGATCAATACAAACCTGAAATCATTAGGTCCGGGCTGTCACTGTAATTTACTGCACAAAGTGCAGCTCAGATGGCACAGCCCTTCACTCTGCTCTCTGGGTAAAGCCTTCTGCCGGGTCTATCCTTCCCAGAAKATATTTTTTCCTTCCAGCAGGAGAGGGTTTGATGGCAGTTTCTCCAGGAAACATCCCCCAGGCACAGTCCTGGGGCAGGGGGAAGATGAGGGATGCAGCATTTGAACCAAAATCCCAYGAGATTGAGTGATGCCATTTTGAAGAGAAGAATCTCCAAGGGATGGATCTCTACTTTGTCTGATCATTTTCTGACTAAATTATTCATYGTTCCAAAGTACATCAGAGTGAAAATGCAGTTTTCCCTCCAAGATCAGCACAGATGGAAATGTCCAGGTAGTTCTGATATTCTGCAGGAGATAATTTAGGGTGAAATCACAGCACATTGGTACAGCAGCCAGAATGTCAGGAGGGGAAAAAAAATAAATAAATCACACCCATCCTTGTTGGACCTTCACAAGAGCACTGCAGGAAAAGGCAGGGATACATTAGCAATTTCGATAACTTTTTTTTTTTTTTTTTCTTTTGTATTCATAAAGTATTCATACTTAATAGTCAGCCTTGCTGACGAACCCTTTTTTCATCAAATGAAGTTATAAACTGCAATGTAAGATCTCCTGGCTGGTGAGACAGAGTCTCCTGGGGATGTTAAACCTCTGACCAGGCAAGGTGAGCATTACAACCTGACCTCACTCCTCAGAGATTTCTCCATGAGCTCCTAAGGATTATAAACACACAAAATTATGAGATTCCTGCTCGGTTTCCTTCACTTTGTGTCACCATCTTCTTTCATTTCCCTGCTGCAGGAGTGGCTGTCGCAGTAATTTCTATGCTTTCAGGAAATTAGGAAAAAAAAAAAAATAAAATCTGACATCCTTGTGCTTAAAATAGACTGGAGAGCCCAGCTGATTTCCAGTGGCCTTGTGGGACCTGGGAGGTGGCGAGGATGGAAAACCACTCGAAAAGGAGCAAATTATGAGACTGGGAGGAAATGTGAACTCGGAAAATGAAAGGGCTCCAGCTCAGCCTGAGGAAGGTTTGCAGGGCGCAGGAGTTCAGGAGCCCCTGGGACACCACTGGAACAGCACGGGGATGTGGGAATTTGGGGATGGAGGAGTTTGGGGCTGCAGGAATTTGGGGCTGTGGGAATTTGGGGCTGGAGGAGTTTGGGGCTGTGGGAATTTGGGGCTGGAGGAGTTTGGGGCTGCAGGAATTTGGGGTTGGAGGAATCTGGGGCTGGAGGAGTTTTGGGCTGTGGGAATTTGGGGCTGGAGGAGTCTGAGACTGCAGGAATTTTGGGCTGTGGGAATTTGGGGCTGGAGGAGTCTGAGACTGCAGGAATTTTGGGCTGTGGGAATTTGGGGCTGTAGGAATTTAGGGCTGCAGGAATTCAGGGCTGCAGAAATTCGGGGCTGGAGGAATTCGGGGCTGAAAAAAATCGGGGCTGCAGGAACTCAGGGCTGTAGGAATTTGTTGGTTTAAAAGAGCCATTCCACATTCATGATCTCCCACACTGTAATCCTCATCACCTCTCCCTCCTGCTTTGGCCAAACGTGGATGTCAGGAAAGGTTTCCCCACCCCTGTGCAAGGTCAGATCTTCTCCTTCAGCACAATTGTACAAAGCAATTTGTGTTCTCAGCTGATGAACTGTCCAAAACCAAACTTGCTGAGGGATTCAATCACTGCTGGAGTCATTCTGGTTATAGATTCAGGAGATGAGGCCAGAGGAGACCTTCAGCTATGCAGACATCTGCAGTGAATAAGATAATCCTTGTTCTAATCACATAATCACCTGTACCTCTCCGGGTGATAAAACATCCACTTAAAAATGATATTGCTCCTAAAAAAATCTTCTACTGCCTGGAGAACCTTGAGTGCCAGAGATTAAAAGATTATGGAAAATAAGTATGCATAATTTTCACTTTGCTTTGTGCCAGTGAGAGACAGAGAATGTTTGGACAGAGAGGAAAATTGGGATGGAAACAGTCTGCTCTGCCATTTGTCTGATCTTTCACACTAGCAGAGGAATGGAAATGTTTTTATGGTTAAGAAATGCCGAGACAAGAACAGTGTCTGTGCCTCTTTTAGGAGACGATATTTCAAGTGGACAGTGCTCATTCACCACTGCCTCTCTTTTCCTTGCCAACATCTCTTTTTAGTGTCTAATATTTTAGCARGAAGCATTTGCGGGCTAAATTAAGGTGAGGATGAGCTTTCTTCTTCTCCCAGCTCTCAATTACCAGAGCTCCAGCATTTCCATCGGGTTTATTTCCCTGCAGGAACACATCAGAGCTATGACATGTGTCCTTCTTGTCCCCACGCCCAGGAGCAGCAATCCTGTTGGCCAAACAGCGACATAAAAGAATAGATACAAAACACACAAAAAGTGGGTGAAAAAACAGAAAGAAAGAAGAACTTTATTGTGGGACAAGCCTCTTTTATCCACTTTAGCAACCASAGYATACATTTGTGTCAAMCATACATTGGTCAAGAGACAGCTGTTTAATTAGTAATCAGAACATAATTGGTGAGTTTGCAAAAGCTACAGTATCAGTAATGCTTCTAATTTCCACCCACCTGTGTTATCAATTCTACATTCCAATCTGCTTTTCTCAAGGATGGGGCATTCCTCCTTGTCGTGG